TCGTATGAGCAGAGGGAAAATGTAACAATAGTGTGTGGGAAGGACGATTAGGTTACAATGTAGTGATTTCTTTTGATAAATGAGTCATATTTGTGGGGAAAATAAGGTAATATGATTAGCTTTCCCACACGACATTAACTGCTACAACGCTTCAGACAAGAAAACCCCAAGTTTACCCCTTAATAATTCAAATTGATTAGCATCCAATGCCTTAGTGAAAATGTCAGCTAATTGCACCTCAATAGCCATGTGTTCTAAGGTAACAATCTTGTCCTCAACAAGTTCTCTGATAAAATGAAGATGGATATTAATATGCTTAGTTATGCTATGCTGAATGGGATTTTTGGAGATGTTTATGGCACTCAGATTGTCACAATAAAATGTCATGACATCTTGCTTGACATTGTATTCAGTCAACATTTGCTTCATCTAAACTAGCTGTGAAACAACTACTTCCAGCTGCTATGTATTCAACCTCAGTAATAGACAAAGATACATAATTATGCTTCTTACTAAACCATAATATAAGATTGTTTCCCAAGAATAAGCATCCACCTGATGTACTTTTCCTATCATCAGCACTTTCTGCCCATTCAGCATCAGAATAACCAATTAACATAGAACCAGATCCATGGCATTATAACATACCATAGTCACAAGTCCCATTCACATACTTCAGTATTCTTTTTACTTGATTGATGTGACTCACTTTGGGTTCAGCCTGTCATTTGGAACACACACCTACAACAAATGCAATATTAGGTCTTCTTGTTGTAAGATATACCAAGCTTCCTATCATACTTCTATAGAGACTTTGATCCACATTCACACCCTTTTCATCCTTAGATAACTTCAAGTGAGTGAGAGTAGGAGTTCTCTTGTATCTGGCATTCTCCATCCCAAACTTCTTTACTATATTCTTGGCATACTTACTCTGAGATATGAATATAGAATCTTCCATTTGCTTTACTTATAGACCAAGAAAAAATGTTAATTCACCTACAAGACTCATCTCAATTTATGATTGCATTTGCTTGACAAAATGTTGAACCATTTCATCAGACATCCCACCAAACACAATGTCATAAACATAAATTTGAGCAATCATGAGCTTTCCTTCTTCTTCTTTGACAAATAGGGTCTTGCATATTCCACCTTTCCTGTAGCCATTCTCAACCAGGAATTTTGTCGACCTTTCATACCATGCCCTTGGAGCTTGCTCCAACCCATAAAGAGCTTTCTTTAGCTTGTACACATGATTAGGAAAAATTGGATCAATAAATCCCTTAGGTTGTTCAACATAAACCTCCTCATTCAGGTAACCATTTAAGAAGACACTTTTGACATCCATCTGGAACAATTTAAACTTTAGAATGCAAGCCACTCATAATAGTAACCTAATAGCCTCAAGACGAGCCACAAGACCAAATGTCTCGTCAAAGTCTACCCCTTCAATCTGAGTATACCCTTGAGCAACAAGTCTTGCTTTATTTTTTGTGACAACACCTTTTTCATCAGACTTATTCTTGTATATCCATCTAGTTCCAATCACATTGATTCCCTCGGGCCTAGTCCAGATCCCACACTTCATTTCTCTTAAATTGTCCTAGCTCATCTTGCATAGCATTAATCCAGAATTCATCAATTAAGGCCTCCTTAACATTCTTGGGCTCAATTTTTGACACAAAATAAGAGTTTGACAAGACTTCTCTTGATCTAGTTATTTCCCTCTTATTAGGATCTCCTATGATAAGCTCTTTAGGATGGTCCTTCTGAATACTGATAGATGGCCTCTTGTCGATTTGATCAGTTCCAAATTCAACATGTGTAGGTTCCAAACCTGTACTGATGTTTGTAGCTCCTTCTGGAGAATCATTCATAGATGTTCCAACATCTTCTGAATCATCATCCTATTTATTCACACATGTCTCATCAACCATAACATTTATGGACTCCATCATTACTTTAATTCTGGAGTTAAACACCCTATAAGCTCTGCTGGTGGTAGAGTACCCTAAAAATATTTCCTCATCATTTTTTTGGATCCATCTTTCTCCTCTGTTCACAATTCTAACAAAATGTAACACATACTTCCAAATACATGAAAGTATTTGACAATAGGTTTTCTTCCTTTCCATATTTCATATAAGTTAGCTGAAGTACCTTTCCTCAAGGTCGCTCTGTTATGAATATAACAAGAAGTGTTCATTGCTTCCGCCCAAAAGTGGTAGGATAATTGTTTGGCATGAATCATAACCCTGGCAGACTCCTGAAGAGTTCTATTCATTCTTTCCACAACTCCATTTTGCTAAGGAATGATGGGAGAAGAGAACTCATGACTAATTCCTTCAAATGAACAAAATTCTGTAAATTTGTTGTTTTCAAATTCCTTCCCATGGTCACTTTTGATTCTAATGATATTACTCTCCTTTTCTCTTTGAAGTTTCTGACACAGATCTTTGAACACTTCAAACACTTTTGACTTTTCTCTAATGAAACTCACCCAGGTGTATCTTGAATAGTCATCCACAACCACATAGGCAAACTTCTTTCCACCAAGACTCTCCACCTGCATAGGTCCCATCAAGTCCACATGAAGGAGTTCCGACACTTTTGAAGTAGTCAAATGTTGGAGCTTCTGATATGATATCTTGGTCTGCTTCCCAATTTGGCACTCACCACAATTTTTTCCTTCTTCAATCTTCAGCTTTGGAATCCCTCTGACAGCTTCCATAGAGATAATCCTTTTCATGCCCTTCAAATGAAGATGTCCCAACTTTTGATGCCATAATTTAGCCTCATTTTCTTTGGTTAACAAACATCTGGATGAGTAACTTGAGTCTTGAAAATGTTCTTTTCCACTCCATTGAATAGTGCATTCAGGGCTTTGGAATTTCCCAGAGCCAATTCATCCTCTTCTTTAGTCCATTCTTCTTCAGGTTTCAACTCAGAAATCTTCTTTCCATCTTTCCCCATAACAACAGGATGTTCCCATCCTCTTATGACAACTTTCCATGACTTGATATCCATGGACTTCAAAAAGGCCACCATGTGTGCTTTTCAGTAGTCATAATTGGTACCATCCATAATGGGTGGTCAGTTAACAAATCCCCCTCCCTGTCTATCGTACCATAAAGTAACTTCCCTAGATCTCACCCAGATACAAAGCAGAATGCCTACTCTGATACATATTGAAATTCTGGTATCAAATATGAGATGTTGAAGGTGATGTCACGACATTAATATCTGAACTGATATCATCTAAAGAACAAGGTAATAAACATAATAAGAAAGCAGTAAACAACACAAGCAATTTTTAACCCAGTTCGGTGCAACATCACCTACGTCTAGGGGCTACCAAGCCAGGAAGGAAATTCACTAAAACAAAATTAGTTTGAAGATTCTCAGCAAACAACCTATAGTTTACAATTTTCTCACCTAATCTCTACCCGTCCAATTTCAACCTAGGACTCTCCTCAATATGAGACCCCTCTCACTTCCCTTCAATTACAACAGTAGTGATAAGACTTAACACTAAACAAAAGAAGACACGCTTCAAAAACAATACTTGATCTTGATTAAAAACTTCAATCAAGGATAATACACTCTTGCTTAAAAGCTTAGAGTGGACATTTACGACTCAATAAACTCAACCCAGTTCAAGCATCTGCGTGATGAATGAATGACTCACAAGAACACAATACAACCCTTATTCTTAAGCAATGCACACACAGAACCCTAACTTCACTGATCTTCAATTAGGATTGACAAGTCTTTATATAGAGAACGATCTTCATGGGCTTGGGCATTAGCAAAAACCAAATCAAATAACTCTTCAAGATTTCTCACGATTATAGGCATGAAAATAGCACAAAAGATCCCACAATTAGCTCCACTTAATATGCAACAGAATACTTTTGTTTCAAATAAAATCTCCACCATGATTCTCGCCAGCAATCTCTCAACAGGAAAACACAAAGGATTGCAAACAAAACGTAACAAACAAAACACAACATTTTGAACTGAATGTTGTCTAGTTATGTAATCACATGTTAGGAAATCAGTCTTGACATCATGAACAAAAGCTCTGCAACATCTGAAAAGTTAAACTGCAAAGACATCTTGCACAACACATAGCTACAACAACCTATTTTAGCAAAAAATGCAGCCAACACAAAACTTACAGATCACTTTTCCTCATCGATCCTTTTGGTGAAGTGATCCACGCCCACAAGAAGGAACCTTTGTTACACTGACACCAATGGAAAAATACATAGGATTTCCTCGCCACATTGATAAATTAGTCAGGGATAAAGCATAAAATAAAGGATTTTGGTCGGAGTGTCATGTAGGTTCGAATGCCTTTGACATTTATCACACGTGTTGACATACATTGTGTTGTCTTTCATCATGGCCGACCAGTAGTAACAGGGCCTCAACAGAAAATGGGGATGGGCAGACGTAGTTGATGTTGTGGGCTTAAAATCTTGGTTGACTTAACAAAAAAATGGTGGAGTGAGGCAGACTCAATGACTCCTACATCCCTACAACTTAAAAGTTGCAAAAATTCATGTGATGGCACTAATTCAAACTAGATGTATATTAAGTCAATCTCTTAGTGCTCATAGAAGAAACCAATAAAGACACTATCTCTTGTAAAGTTTAATACATAACATCAAAACTCAGTGATTTGCCTAAAAGCTAATATAAATAAAATTTAATTGATATACATTGACAGTGTAAAATAATTTTATACTATCAATCAATCACTCTTATGTATCCTGTCACATTAAATTAATAAATTTCTATTAAATAATAATGTAAAATTATTTTACAATGTCGATAGATATCAATTAAACTCATATAACGTCCTATACTCTTCTCTAATTTTTCTCTAAACAAATAAATAAATAAATATATAAATATATCGTGGCCTCGTGGGGTTTATCAGCACTTCACAAATCGAGTCTCTCCCATTTCTCTCTCGATTGTCAGAAGCAATGGATTTGCTCACAACCTCTCCTTCTCTCTCACTCTCCCCCATCTCCACCCTTTTCCCAAAACAACCCATTTCTTCCTCCAACCCTAAAACCTTCACCCGTTCACCCTTTTCCCAATTTCGCACTACCCCAATCAGTTGCGTCCTCTCAACCGCATCTCCAAAACCCTCAAACTTCGAATCCCATCTTCAAAAACCCTCCATCACTTTTCAATTATCTTCCTCTCAGACTCCGGAAAGGGCCATGAGAGGTGCTGAATCGGATACTATGGGGTTGCTGTTGAGGGAGAGGATTGTGTTCTTGGGAAGTGAAATTGATGACTTTGTTGCTGATGCTATTGTGAGTCAGTTGTTGCTTTTGGATGCTCAAGATCCTAATAAAGATATTAAGCTTTTTATCAATTCTCCCGGGGGTTCTCTCAGGTTAGATAAAGTTTTGTTTTTTCCATTGTTTATGTAGGTTTCGAATGCTTACAAAAAATGCCTTGGAATGGGGTAAGGGTGTATGAGAATTGTTGCAATTGTATCTGATAAGGTGATTGGGAAGATAAGGTTAATGGGTTGGAAATGAAATAGAAAAAACGGACCTTTGTGTTTTTTTAGGTTATTGTTATTGATATTTGGGGAAATTAAGAATATGAAAAAAGAAGGATAATGTATGCTTCTTTTGGTAACATTTTGCTAACTAAAATACTGAATTGGTGATACTGTGATATTTATTCTGCTTGTTGAAGCGTTGAATGAAGAGATATGAAACACGATTGGACTCAAGGACTCGTGTGATGAGTTATGTTTGTACAATCTTGAGTTTTGTGTTTAATTTGGGATTATTTTTGTGTCTGTTTCGTATTGATTCTGATATTACTTTGGTGCATGTTAAGTATTTATTGAAGTGGAGTGTTAGTGATGGAAATTAAAAATCCTCTTATTTACTTGCCAGAATTTTATGTGATTATATTTGTACAATGCTATGTTGGAAATAGCCACGCAACGCTATCCTCCTTCAACAGTTGAGGTTCAGCGGCTGCCGGCCGCTAACAAAGACAAAATAGCCTTTTTCATGGCTGTGTTTTGATTCGAACTTGCTTTTGTCGTTTTGATGGGATGTCCTTTTGATTACATATAAAACTTGATTTTGTAGTTTTAATGGGATGTCATTTTGATTACATTTAAAACTTGATTTTTATGGGAAATGAAAAAGTTAGTTATATTTATTAAGTATGATTGTCCTTTTAATTTTGTGTATTTTTCTATTTGAGTATTCATATATATCTTGTTAGAATTTATATTTACTTTGTACATTGTTTTCTAGTCTTCGCAATAGCGGCCATCCCTCTGTCCACTGTATCGCTATAACACTTTTGGGGATTGGCGCTATGTGTTGCTATCTGGGATTAACAACATAGATGCAATGTGACGACATTTGTATGTTGATGACATTTTTTCTCTTGTTTTATTTGGGAGGTGAGATACTTTTCTTCCAAAGAAGTATTTTTTTTAGTTTCCAATTTTTCCTTCTGGAGCATTCTGCAGGAGGATATCTTACCCTCTTACTAGAAACTGTTATCTTTTATCATTGTTTTCCTCTTCTATTCAAAGACACACAGGCATAAATGGATAGCACCAAAAGCTTGTCAATTGATCATCTTTAAAAGAATGGCACATTGACTTAAGTTGTACCAGAGTTGATATATTTGCTCTTAAATTTTTTTATCCGTTTGTGTTCCTGGTTGGAAATATATCTGAATCATATATTTGCTTAAGTGGGGTTCTTCTAAATTTTTCTCTAAGGGTAAAAGTGAAGTAGGAAAAGATATGCTGGATGCATTTCTTTCTGCATTTTGTCATTGTTTTTTTTAATTATTTTTTCACTTGAAGCCAAACCAATATAAGTACAAATCCATTTGTGTTCAATATTTAACAAACCTTAAGCAGCCATCATTTGCTCCTTTGATTTCAAACACACACGGTTAAAGAAAGAGCCTTGCTTACTACTACTAGGCACTTGATTCTTGCAACACATCTATGAAAAGGATAGCCTAAACATGGCTTACAATATATTGTGTTTAATTAAATATATGATTAGATATGCAATCATTACCGAGAAAATTTAGGTAGCCTCCATTATAGAGATTGTAGAATATATTTTAGATGGTTTGAACGTGTATGGAGCAGATATGTAGAAGCGCTGGTACCTAGAATAGATAAGATGGACCTAATAGTATATTTAGAGTGTTATGGGAAGATAGGTTGAAAGTTAGAGGTAGAGGGAGATAAAGGGAAACAATAGGAAAGCCATTAAGAGAGATTTTAAGGTAAATAGTCTATTGTATGACTAAACATATGACAATTTTATCGCGTTGTCGACCTGGTAGAAAAGGTGTGGTTGTTGTTGTTGCTCCTTGCTTATTTTGTACACACATATGGAGTGAATCTTGTTAGTATTGAGAGCCAATTTTTTAGGCAAATTGGTCCGGAATCGACATTAAATTGGGATGTCGAGACAAACTGCCATGTTAAAATGTTTTATGACTTGATGTTTTTGTGTTGGCTTTTTGTACAAATCTAATAGTCTAGACTTGTTCTTATAAATATATAAGCTCTCTGAATTTGGATTGGGCCTAACTCATCCCTACAAATCCGGCTTGTGGGGTGAGGATTTTGCCCCCACTTATAAACACAACATAGACCATATCTCTAAGCAATGTGGGACTAAATCCATCCCTTCAAAGCCAACACAATGAAGGTATTGGGGGCTGCAATGAGGCAAGCCAAAGTGCCGCAATTAAGGCGACTAGGGGCAGACCGCAATTAAGGCAGAAAGTCCAACATGGTATCAGAGCCTAGTTCGGATCCAGGGACCTGTGGGTTATGGGCCCACCACGCTTCCGATTCAAGTAGCTAATAATATGGATGTCAAATTTGATTACAATCAATAACAAAAATATCTAACTGGGCCACTTCGCAGTGTTTTATACTTGCTGTTATTTATTATTTGGTACCTATAACATGGGCAGCTACTTGCTGTAGCATCTTTTATGGGATAAAATGGTTTTATTAACTTCTTCATAGTCCCTTTGGTGTATATATAAAGAGACTTGAGAATCCACTGATGAAAAGTTTTGTTTTCCTTTAGCTGTTCTATTTTTTGTACTCTTATATTTCTCCATTCTTGTACCAAGAACTAAGGCCATATCAGAAGAGCCATATATCTGTTCAATTTCCTTAATTTCATGTAGAGCTAGTGTGCCTATTCTTTTGGACTGCATTATTGATGCTGATTCTACATAGATATAGAGTTTATATTATTTTTGAGTTGCTTAAGTTAGGATCGACACTGTGGTCTTCTATGCTGTCAGGCACCTAGAAAAAATAATTGGAAGTCTGTTATGATTTGCTTGGAGTCATGTTTTGTCTGATTTAGGGCTTCCTTTTGTTAACTTGTTAATAATCATTGATTTTTGTTTTTTATTTCAAGTATATTTTTCTTTTTCTGTTTCATCATTCTTCACATCTGGCTTATTTTGCATGCTGTTATTTATTTAGTGCTACATTGGCTATCTACGACGCGGTACAGCTTGTGAGGGCTGATGTATCCACAATTGCAATGGGCATTGCAGCATCAACAGCCCCCATTATCCTCGGCGGTGGCACCAAAGGCAAGCGTCTAGCTATGCCCAATACGCGAATCATGATTACTCAACCACCTGGAGGTGCTAGCGGACAAGCTTTAGATGTAGATATTCAAGCTAAAGAAGTCATGAACAGCAAGAATAATGTCTCTAGAATTATATCATCTTTCACCGGTCGCTCAGTTGAACAAGTTCTGATAGATATCGAAAGAGATAGATATCTGTCTCCCATTGAAGCAGTTGAGTATGGAATTATTGACGGGGTAATCGATGGAGACAAGATTATTCCTCTTTTGCCAGTGCCAGAAAATGTTGAAGAAATAACACTAGACACCAATGATCGGAATTTCTTAACCCCAAATGTTCCCGAGGATGAGATATACTAGCTTTATATGATCGATGGTGGTTCGACATACAAATGCGATGTTGTAACAAAATGAAAGTTTCAGGATTATTGTGTAGGATGCTGTGACAATATTTGTCTTTCAACTATGATTCAGTTATGAAGAAATTTGTTGATTATTGTTATTCTGTCTTAACTATTACAAAGGTTGATTTTTAGAACCTTGATAACAATGATTATAAATGAGATGAAACCAAGCAAAAGATAAATTACAACATCTACTATAAAACATAAAAAAGAAACAAAATTTCAAAATAAAATAATATAGTGGACATAAAATGTCAATCAATAATGATATAGACACTGTTGTGTAGGTCAACAACCTTTGTCACCATGGAAACAAAATGCTGCCGACTCATCAAAGGAGCCTGTGATTACTTACTAATTAGTGATTAATTAAATACTAATTAATTTTGAAACTCAACTATCATTGCATGTCACAGTGTGACAAAAGCTAAAAAGAGTAGCCTTGTCTTTTTTGATGAAAATTTAGGTTAACTATTGCCGGATAAGCCGAATATTCTTGTGAATGATAGTGCCATTTCACAGTTTTGACTCTCATATTCAAAAGTCCAAACTAATAATACTATTTTTTTATAAGAAAATATTAACAATCAAAGTCTATCAATTTCTTGTACTAATTATGCCTGCAATGATGCACATTATATAAAGATCATATGCTTAAATAAATTAAGGTCAGAGTTTATTGAGACTAGGTTTTCATTTAATAGTTTTTTATTAGAAACGTTTAATAGTTCTTTATTTATAAAAAAATTTCTTCTAAAACTTCAACGAATATAGATTAGTTTTGATTTATGTGGAAAATCATTATATAAAGATAATACAATATGGGAGATTATTTTAATATATTTTTTAAATAATTAAGAAAAATTCACATTTATAACAAAGAGTAGCTCTTAAAACATGGAAACTAACAAATTCTGTCACAAAGACATGATTTGTTTTAGCTGTTGCGTTATTCCTTTAGGATTGTCGGCATTATACAAAATAATATGGATTGTTCAAGATGTTTTGATGCATAAGGGATATATGTGGTACACGATATTCCAGCATCTGTGTAACATTTAACCTTTACTCACCAAATCAATGTTATTGCGTTTTTGGAGCAAATTTTTGGTTGGGATCCAATCATATTTATTGTTGTTATTTAGCAATGCGTTTCTGTAATTTATTTAACATCTGTTTAAAGATCAAATCAATTTAAATGGAGATTTAAATTTGAATTTGAATTAATAACAAATCATATATTTTGTTGGAGATTTTTATGGAGAAAAGTCTCAAGTTTAGTTTGAATTAATAATAAATCATATCTTTTGTGAAAATTTCTAGGACAAATGTCAGACACGATATCTGTGACCCAGTTTGCAAGACGTAAGAGAAAGAAACTATGCTACATTTTGTGATAGAAATATGAGAAATAAATTTGTAAAGATGAAGATGATTGCTGGCATTGTAAGGCAGAATGTTGAAAATCATGTTTCAAACATTATGGATGACATGGTAGAAATAGAAATTAAACTTAGGAGTATAAGGAACTTTGTTGCAGAGAAATCTGTCATATGTATGTCTGACCTCAAAATTGAAGAATGTAAAATTTATGAAGATTGTCAAGTTGGGAAGCAAACAAAGATGTCATACAAGATTTTCAACATCTTACTCATGCTTATGAACTACCACTTATGAAAATTATGAGACTCTTACAAGGAGTTGTCATTGAAGGGAAAGCTGATGGTCAGGAAGGAGGTCCTCCCAACATTGAACAACCAACAATGGTTCAGAAGAAAAAACTAAAGAAGATTAGTGATTATGGCAGAATTCTTCCTATTGGAGTTCCTTCTCAAGTTTCTGGAGTTTTGATTAATAAAAACCATGATATTATGTTTGGTGAAGCTGCAATTGGTGTTCCTTTTAATGTATTAAATTTTAGCTATATGTTGTAGGGTTAATATCCACTCCATTTCTTTGTCCCTCCATTTTCTCCATTACTATAGTTTTGTGTGTAAATAACACACATTTCTATGACATGTGACATATAATTAATATTTAGTTGATTTTATATAGATAAAACTATAGTAATGGAGAAAATGGAGGGATAAAGAAATGGAATGGATATTAACCCATATGTTGTATGTCAACAAACATGTATCAGACATTGTTCTCCATAATATTTCACATTTTGACAAGTATAATCTAGCTGCTGGTGGAAATGTGCTTAATGTCCCACTCATGTATGGACCTATAATAAATCATCATCTCATTCAAAAGTTTTTTTAGTGAGGATACCCAGAAAACCAATATGTGAAATCAAGATATTGATAATGTGCCAGACACCTGTCCAACATGTTGACAAAGTCTCAAATTCATAAGGAGAATGATGATGTGACCCCTGCAAATAATTTTGTGAGTGATGATGATCATGAACATGAAAATTTTGAGGTTGATACAGTTGTAACCCATGTTGGTGTTGTTAATAATCATAATGAGAAAAGAGAATTTGCATCAAAAGAAAAGAAGGATCATGCAGTAGAAAATATGGAGAAAGATGTCGAGACATTATGTGAATACGTGATAAGTAATTATTAGAGCATATTTTCGGGGTGTGCAATTAATAGCAAGGTATATAGATTGTTTTCTAAAGGCAAAAAATCTATAGATGATATGCAAACGGAGATGACTCCTCATGAAGATAAAGATTTTGATCTCATTGGTCTTGATGTGGAGAAAGTTGTTGCTAACAAAATAGGAAATATCATGATGTCTGTTGAAGAAGATGTAAATTTTTATGATGCTAAAACTTATACTCATATTTCCCATCTCGGAGACATCAGATTGGTACTAGAACTGCCATATATTGTAAAGTTCAAACTTTATCAGATGGACGTGAAAAATATCTTCCTCAATGGGTTCTTGTATGTGGAAGTCAATATGGATGTTACTATTTATATCAATAAATGGAAGGTGTCAATGTGGAAGACAATGAGAACCTGAAGATAGTTTACATTTATGTTGAAGATGTTGTGTTGTGTAGGATGTCAGTTAAGATGTTAGAACATTTTGTTCAGCAAATGCAGTCTGAATTTGAGTTCAACATAATAGGAGATGTTATATACTTTTCTAATTTTCATGTGAATCAAATGAAAGACTACATCATTGATTCCTAAAGTATATATGCTGGAAGTAGTTACACTCAGCTGTTGTGGAGTAACCTAATGCTCAAATATGATAATGAAGATGTCAACTAGAATGTGCCAGACAACCTGTATGACATATTGGTGACTGGGTTTCCATCTCAAAGGAAGGATGAGCAAGTTGCCCGTGTTAATTCTAAAGTGAATAGTTAGTTTGTTCAAACAAGTGAATTTGATACAGATGTTGAAGCATATGCCCAGGACATTGTGTCAACCATAAGGAGAAAGGTTGGCGGAAAGAGGATTCATGTGAATGTTGTTGATTTTCCATTGGATAATGTGTCATTCCATTCTAAAACAAGTATTCAAAAGTGGAAATATGTTCTTCTAAGAAGGATTACTTGTGAAAAAGAGCTAGGTACAAATTCTCTTGATTGTAAAGAGATTATAGATCTAATAAAAGTTGTTTGGCTAATAAAGATTGTAACTGATGTTGGTCCTTGTATGAAAAATAGGTCAATGAGTTAATTATCAACATATCCAATGAATGTAATGTTGAAGGTAGCAAAGAGTATAGAAAGGTGTATGATAGAGGAAAATGTGAAGCTTTCACCTTGAATTATTAATGTTTATTTTTTCAGAAGCAAGGTTCTATATATTGTCAAGATTATGGCAAAGGAAGAAGAAGAAACTGCAAGTAAGGATAAATAATAACATTATGTTAAATAACTAAAGTATAATGAAAGTATGGAGCTTCATAGTGTTGCTCAGTTGTTGAAGACAATGCTGATTATTGGAGTTTGTTATCCTAAGTTGATGAAGGAATTTGAGGTTAAAATGATGGTACTCCTCATGGGTTATTGAGTTTTAGTTATATATTGTTTGTCGGGAAAGATGTCTTAGATAAAGTGTCTAACATTTATACACCTGTTGATGAAACTGGTCTGATTTTTATGAAGAAATGTTGGATATTTTTCACCACAACTTATTGTTTCTGCTACATTGTCATACACATTGTGCCAGACATTGTGTTTGACATTTATACGTCTTAAAAACAAAATTGCTTCAACTGCAATTTTGTGGTATGTGTTATTGTTATCCACTAATTGTCCCCATTCTAGGCTAGATTTTTCTGTTACCCCTCGCCCATTTTAAAAAATCTTAGGGGAGATGGTGATATGATGATTTGTAAGAAAGACAATTAATTCTAACTGATGTTTATAAGAAGTTGTGTGGTGTTTTGTTCTCCATCTTATTCTCATGGTTGTGATCTTAAGAAGTTATGTTTTATCCGTTAAGATGATTTGAAGTGTGGTTCAGTCTTTGCAAGACATTTATTTTGAATTCTTTATTTGAGAAGTTGGAATTGTGATGTTTATCAAGTAAATATTTTATTTTTTCAAGATTCAGAATTGTGTTTCGTGGATAGATGTCAAGTCAAATGTTCCACAATCATTGGGACATGTATCTTGTATTAGTTACAAAGGTTTCAAGCTTCCTAATAAAAAGTTGATTGATCATGTGTGTTTTTAGAGGATGTAATATGAATCAAAGACAACAAGAATAATTAATAGATTTAGATTTATTCAAGGAGATCGATCAAGATTGGAAATCATCATTATTGAAGATTGATCTCATGTGTTTTTTACCAATCAAATTCATGACTTAAATCCTTATGGGATTTTGGAACTGGACAATTATGGCTATATAAGGATTGCATCCTCTTTGGGAAGACTTAGACCTCAAGAGTAAATATTTACTCATTAAGGAAGATGCAAAATCCTTAGGTGAAGAAGATGAATCAATTCATCCACTTTAGTATTTGTGATTCTGC